GTTTAGGGGAAACCTAGCTATGGTTGAGGTGAGGTTTGTTTATTCTGTCCTGGCAGCTCTTTAAAAGCTTAAAGGGGGCATAACACACAAAGTTTCACCCAATCTCATGTTAATCTTGAGTACCTATAGAGTAGTACTGCATCCTTCATATCTCCAAACAGTCTTTAGTTTTATCATATTTATAAAAGAAAGATACAGCTTTACGATTCTCTCCGGAAAAAGCCGAGCTTCTGGAGGCGCACCGTGGGCGGAGCTAAATATTGACGAGCACTTGGGTGCCGAATGCCAACAAAACAGACATTTGATGCCGTTTCACTTACCGTCTGCAGTTCTGAATCATGACCGGGATCTTTTATAGCTGGGACCGCTCCATCTTTCAGTATCTAAACGATGTGCAAATCCAGCGTTGAACTGGGCCTTGTTTATAAAACATTCGTCAACAAACACACTTGTGAAACTCCGTTGCTGCCCCGGAAAAACAAACTGTATCCACTGTTTACATAACGCTGGGTTCTTTAGGAAGCTGAACAAAGTTATCTTTCCCTTACAACCAAAAACACACTTCTTTGGATTGGAGACATTCTTCCCGAGCAAGTCCCGTGCAGCGCTGCCACCGGATGAAGCACGTTGATGGGCGTGATCTCGCTCTCACTCTGGTCGGTGCGTGCGTGGGTGCGCTGTTCCGGGAGAAATGCCCATATAAGGAGTTCCCCCCTCGTCTACGTCATGAAGAGCCACGATCGAAAAAAACTCTCCGAAACTTGTACAAACCTGGAAGTACGATTTTTGGCACAGAAATACTACGTCATACGTCCAAATTGTTTTTTGAAACGTTGTCCATGCTTTACATGAGAATCCAACTCTTTAATAGTGTAAACAACTCTGAATGCATGAAACAGTATTGTACCCCCACTTTAATGGTTCCCATTATGGTCCTGAAACCTAGCAATATCAGGAAATTTCTAAAGTGTGATTTCCATGCTTGAAAAAGAAATTGCCAATATCTTAAAAAGTCATGGAAATTGTTATTGTAGTTTATGATTAGTTTTGAATTGTTTGATAAGCATGACATTACTAGTTGTGAGTCTAATCTTGATAAATGGATTTGTAAAAATCCTGGAAAAATAATGGAAGTTTCCTGAAAAGAAAGTGTGAGGGAAGTTTGGAGGCTTGAAATTCCCCCTTCATTTGCTCAAATATAGGGATGAGTGAGTAGGAGACACAATAATCACAGGCCGCCGATTATTTGACAGGCTCACCGGTAAAGGCTTTGTGTTCTAAATTATTGAGAAAAATGATTAGGAATAATAATCTTTAATCAAGACATTTTTCTGTCATAAAATTACAGAATTAGGTAGCAGAGTAGTGCTGGGCGGTATGACCAAATATTTATATCACGGTATTTTTCAAAATTATACCGGTTTCACGGTACATGATGGTATTTATTTTTTCATGCATGACCAGGTGTTAACCATATTTTCTACTGATTGAGAGAGGAAATACTGCAGTATATTGACTTAGAATGCCCTATTTTGCTGTCACGATGAGTGAATATTGTCAAAAAATACCACACTAAATAGTGACTAAACACGACCCCTTTTAATACATGTTAAACAGGAGTCACTCTCATTTATAATCGCGGCATCGTCTGATAAAATATGCATCTACACTAAAGAGCGGCTATGCGGTCGTTTTGGCTATATTACTTTTTTGTCTTATGCAGCGCACTGCCTGCATCTGAGTAACAAACTAAAAATAAACAACAAACAAAAAAGTGCATGTAATATTAACAGACGGACTACGCTCATATTTATAATTCCAAACAATCAGTAAGCGACAGGTGCTAGGAAATGCTGTTTTGTACTCATTTATTGACGAGTCGGCTGCGGTGCGGCGAACTGAAAGCGCTGCTTCTCTGCCGCTCACTGCACAGAAACAGACGACGAGAGAAGCGACACTTCTCCGGGAAAGTCAGACCTCGCGTCCGCGGGACAGCTCTGGCGAAATCTTCCAACTGAACCATAGCTAAGGTTAATCTATAAAAGTCGCTACACTCTTAAAAATAAAGGTGCTTCAAAAGGTTCTTCAAGCGATGCCATAGAAGAACCATTTTTGGTTCCACAAAGAACCATTCAGTCAAAGGTTCTTTAAAGAACCATCTCTTTCTTATATTAAGCGACGTATTGCGGTATTTTAAAAATGTATATCATAACAAAAATAAACACCGATATTCGGTATGAACCGGTATACTGCCCAGCACTATAGCAGAGCATGTCATTGAAATTCTGTTGTAGTTTTTGGGCTGTTTAATTGGTACAGTTAATTATGTAAAATATTGTAAATATTGATGTGCACTACTGTTCACAATTTGGGGTCAGTAAGATATTTTAAATTTTTGAACAATTTATATTTTTATTCAGCAAGGATACATTGAATTGATCAGAAGTGACCGTTAAGATATTTACAGTTAGTAAAGAAATCTATTTTAAATAAATGCTGTTCTTTTGAACTTTCTAGTCATTAAAAGAAAAAAAATTGTTTACACAAAAATATTGAGCAGTACAAGCGTTTTCAACACTGATAATAATAAACACTTTCATTTTTGAGCATCAAATCAGCATATTATAATGATTTCTGAAAGATCATGTGACTCAAGACTGGAGTAATGACTGATGAAAATTCAGCTTGGTCAGAAATAAAAATTACATTTGAAAATATATTAAATTGTTTTAAATTGTACAAATATCTCACAATTTTTACTGCAACATTAATAAAAAATAAATGCAGCCTTGGTTAGCATACTAGACTTCTTTCAGAAACATAAAAATAATCTTACCCACTCTAAACTGTTAAATGGTTGTGTATGTGATTCATTGCTATTCATTTGATGAGTTAACCAGCATATGTAATACAATTATTTAGTATATTTAGCAAATATCAAATGTTTTTACTGTAATATTGTAAGAAACCCATTTGTCTGTTTTTCTGTCTCTTTTCTAAATTGTAATGTAATATGTAATTTATTTGTGATCCACCCCCAATTAAAAATGTTTCAATCGATTGACTACCCTAGTATTTTGCTGTTACACCAGTTTTGATTTTACGTTCTGGTCTCTCTTTTCTTTCACAGAATTCATCACAAGACCATCTTCATCTTCATCACCAGATTTTTCCAGGGGGGTTTGGATATCAGAAAAGACACCTGTCGGATGACATGCACCCTGAGCAGACAATGATCTGAAGGCCCTACCAGGAGGCCACATACTTTCTTTCTTCCTTCCCTCCTTCCTTTTTTTTTTATCAGTGGAGAAAGACGGGTGAGCCCAGCTGCCTCAGACAGGTGGCATACGGAGAGAGAGAGAGACTCTCTCACACGCACACATCTTCATCCACAGAGGCAACTAGTCACTGTTTGTGGTCCTGTAACTGCCTCGAGAAAATTTGACCTCTGACTTCACCACACCCCCAACCTTGCCCCTACCCCTGCTCGGCCAATCACAGCAGCCATGGGGAGGAAAAAGATCCAGATTCAGCGAATCACAGACGAGCGTAACAGACAGGTGAGTGCAAAGCCTGACTTGTCTGCAGTGGCAGTGTTTTTAGTTCAAGCTAAGGGACTTCTAAATGTGTAACTGAAAATAATTCATTTTGACAGCTTTCTCTGAATAAAACACACCGAGTATACTTAGGAGAGCCTGAAAGATATTATTGGCATTTTAACAGAAATCTTTCTTATTAGTTCTGACTTTTGTGAGTTGCCTTAAGTTGCATCTGTGATTTAGACATCTTGTACAAGACAAACAGTGTGAGGCAAAATCAAATCTAACTCCTTCAATGCAAGGTTTCTGTTGATATATTGTTGAAGTGTGTAAGTCATTTTTCCTCTCCCGGTTTAATAAGCAGAGACAACTACAAGTTAACTACTCATAGGTTGTCTTCCCTTAGGGCAGGGATCCTCAAATCTGGCCCACGAGATCCACTTTCCTGCAGAGTTTAGCTCTAACCCTAATCAAACACACCTGAGCAAGCTAATCAATGTCTTCAGGATCATTAGAAAATCACAGGTAGGGGAGTTTGATCAGGGGTTGAGCTAAACTCTGCAGCGCATTGGCCCTCCAGGGCAAGATTTGAGGAACCCTGCCTTAGGGTGTAAACACCAGTACTTTCAAAGCATTGCTGTTTGTTTGAGTGGTGAGGTTTTTCAGTTTCTGGCTCAACTGATGCAGCAGGATTTTGTTTAGTTTTCATTAATTTTTTACATATAACAGTTTCCTTTAGTTTCTTTGAGTTTTACTATTAGTTTTATTCAGAATATTGGTACAATATTGGTTATTGGCTGATTTTTTTAAAATTCATTAATCAATCAGTATATTTTACAGACTGTATTGGATACATAATTATTATGTAATTTTTTAGAAAATCAAATATCTGTTTTTATATAGTACGTTATGATGTTGTTATGATACCTAATTTGAGCATCAAATCAGCATATTATAATGATTTCTGAAAGATCATGTGACTCAAGACTGGAGTAATGACTGATGAAAATTCAGCTTGGTCAGAAATAAAAATTACATTTGAAAATATATTAAATTGTTTTAAATTGTACAAATATCTCACAATTTTTACTGCAACATTAATAAAAAATAAATGCAGCCTTGGTTAGCATACTAGACTTCTTTCAGAAACATAAAAATAATCTTACCCACTCTAAACTGTTAAATGGTTGTGTATGTGATTCATTGCTATTCATTTGATGAGTTAACCAGCATATGTAATACAATTATTTAGTATATTTAGCAAATATCAAATGTTTTTACTGTAATATTGTAAGAAACCCATTTGTCTGTTTTTCTGTCTCTTTTCTAAATTGTAATGTAATATGTAATTTATTTGTGATCCACCCCCAATTAAAAATGTTTCAATCGATTGACTACCCTAGTATTTTGCTGTTACACCAGTTTTGATTTTACGTTCTGGTCTCTCTTTTCTTTCACAGAATTCATCACAAGACCATCTTCATCTTCATCACCAGATTTTTCCAGGGGGGTTTGGATATCAGAAAAGACACCTGTCGGATGACATGCACCCTGAGCAGACAATGATCTGAAGGCCCTACCAGGAGGCCACATACTTTCTTTCTTCCTTCCCTCCTTCCTTTTTTTTTTATCAGTGGAGAAAGACGGGTGAGCCCAGCTGCCTCAGACAGGTGGCATACGGAGAGAGAGAGAGACTCTCTCACACGCACACATCTTCATCCACAGAGGCAACTAGTCACTGTTTGTGGTCCTGTAACTGCCTCGAGAAAATTTGACCTCTGACTTCACCACACTCCCAACCTTGCCCCTACCCCTGCTCGGCCAATCACAGCAGCCATGGGGAGGAAAAAGATCCAGATTCAGCGAATCACAGACGAGCGTAACAGACAGGTGAGTGCAAAGCCTGACTTGTCTGCAGTGGCAGTGTTTTTAGTTCAAGCTAAGGGACTTCTAAATGTGTAACTGAAAATAATTCATTTTGACAGCTTTCTCTGAATAAAACACACCGAGTATACTTAGGAGAGCCTGAAAGATATTATTGGCATTTTAACAGAAATCTTTCTTATTAGTTCTGACTTTTGTGAGTTGCCTTAAGTTGCATCTGTGATTTAGACATCTTGTACAAGACAAACAGTGTGAGGCAAAATCAAATCTAACTCCTTCAATGCAAGGTTTCTGTTGATATATTGTTGAAGTGTGTAAGTCATTTTTCCTCTCCCGGTTTAATAAGCAGAGACAACTACAAGTTAACTACTCATAGGTTGTCTTCCCTTAGGGCAGGGATCCTCAAATCTGGCCCACGAGATCCACTTTCCTGCAGAGTTTAGCTCTAACCCTAATCAAACACACCTGAGCAAGCTAATCAATGTCTTCAGGATCATTAGAAAATCACAGGTAGGGGAGTTTGATCAGGGGTTGAGCTAAACTCTGCAGCGCATTGGCCCTCCAGGGCAAGATTTGAGGAACCCTGCCTTAGGGTGTAAACACCAGTACTTTCAAAGCATTGCTGTTTGTTTGAGTGGTGAGGTTTTTCAGTTTCTGGCTCAACTGATGCAGCAGGATTTTGTTTAGTTTTCATTAATTTTTTACATATAACAGTTACCTTTAGTTTCTTTGAGTTTTACTATTAGTTTTATTCAGAATATTGGTACAATATTGGTTATTGGCTGATTTTTTAAAAATTCATTAATCAATCAGTATATTTTACAGACTGTATTGGATACATAATTATTATGTAATTTTTTAGAAAATCAAATATCTGTTTTTATATAGTACGTTATGATGTTGTTATGATACCTAAATTCATTTGTAACATTTAAACCTAATTGATAATCTTTATTTTTTATTTATTTAGACAAAATAGAAATGTAATAGTGGCCAGTGATATTAGTTTTTAGCCATAACAAAACAATTATCATCTGCGAAACTTTTAATGTTGTGCATCACGAGTTTGTGAAACCGGTGAACTCAAGAATAGCTCATAAAAGGCACTTTACCTCCTCGGTGCGCCACGTTTGCCCGCTGCTCATTTTGTTTCGGATACACCGCTCGTTCCGCGTCGTCACATAACGATGCTTCTTGTCATTACATTCTGTTTTTGGTCCGTTAAGAAGTATTTGGTCTGTGTTGCGTTCATATTTCATTCGAACCATGCCAGAGTTTGTTTGGAAGTGGAAGGAGACCCATCATTTTAGTGCTTGTTTGGTGCGTATCAGGGTTTGGTTGCAGCGTTCACACTTACTCAAATGAACCACACTAACAGGCCAATCATACCAGAGTTCATTTTAAGTGTGAAAGCACCCTTAATTTATCATAACCTAAAATTAGTATTAATTAAAATTCATTAATCAATCAGTATATTTTACAGACTGTATTGGATACATAATTATTATGTAATTTTTTAGAAAATCAAATATCTGTTTTTATATAGTACGTTATGATGTTGTTATGATACCTAAATTCATTTGTAACATTTAAACCTAATTGATCATCTTTATTTTTTATTTATTTAGACAAAATAGAAATGTAATAGTGGCCAGTGATATTAGTTTTTAGCCATAACAAAACAATTATCATCTGCGAAACTTTTAATGTTGTGCATCACGAGTTTGTGAAACCGGTGAACTCAAGAATAGCTCATAAAAGGCACTTTACCTCCTCGGTGCGCCACGTTTGCCCGCTGCTCATTTTGTTTCGGATACACCGCTCGTTCCGCGTCGTCACATAACGATGCTTCTTGTCATTACATTCTGTTTTTGGTCCGTTAAGAAGTATTTGGTCTGTGTTGCGTTCATATTTCATTCGAACCATGCCAGAGTTTGTTTGGAAGTGGAAGGAGACCCATCATTTTAGTGCTTGTTTGGTGCGTATCAGGGTTTGGTTGCAGCGTTCACACTTACTCAAATGAACCACACTAACAGGCCAATCATACCAGAGTTCATTTTAAGTGTGAAAGCACCCTTAATTTATCATAACCTAAAATTAGTATTAATTTTTGTGGTATTTAATTATGAAATTCTTCATATAGAGTCATGAAAAGTTTAGTTTATTTTCAGTTTTGCAAATATATATCATTTTTTTATGTACTTTGCATTTTAGTTTTTGATAACTATACAAACACTGCAATGTTTGAGTTTTGTTTAGATGAGTGTTCATTTTTGCTGTTTTGTTATATCCACCTAAGTGGTGTTCACCTAAGCTTAATTTCTGTTCTCTCTGCTCCCCATGCTCCCAACAGGTAAGCCTGTCATATAAAACCTATTCAATCACAAACTTCATAACAGTATCCTATTGAAAGCTTAAAGTAATTAATTGTGTTTAGTTTGGAGTTAGAAGTTCTACTCACTAGTGTGTAATCATTCCCTCCATGTTGGTGAGAATGTGTGGGAAATGTTTTTCTGGTCACAGTTGTGCTGATAGGTGTAGTCACTCTGACCGGAGCAGGTGTGCATACTCAACCTTAGCCTGCTTCGCTGTGTCAGCGCTCAGGTGTGCCTGACTAATCATATTTTTAACAAAGTTAAAAAAAAAAAGTCTTGTAGTTTGTCTGACCCAGATTAGGCCTCATTTTGTACTAAATATCACTTTTAATTGAGATTTCTTCCGGAAAATGATTCTGCTTTGCACAACTTGTCCTTCCGACCTTCCTGTGGTGTAACAGGTATTTGGGCAATTAAAGAATTAAAGAGTGCGAGAAGAAGACATGAACTACAGTCTTTGCTGCAATAACATGTGCCTTTTAATTACCAAACTCCAGCATCGAGGCAAGTATATAGGAGAGGTGTAGAAGAACAGAAGTATCCAGAACTGACAGACGGCAGCAGGTGAGAGAGCGAGCTAGAGTCCGCGTGTGCGGTAAAGGTCAGGAGGTAAGCATTCGGCCCTGAGGTTAATTGGATCGAGAGCGGAGCGGAAAGTCAGGTCGCTGCCTCTCTACATTGTTCACAATGATAAAGTTGTGTTCTCCTGTTGCCATTGGTTACCTGCGTTTTCTATTTTCGATGGCAATTATGTTGCTGGTGTTTATCCTGGTGCTTGTGTGGAGAGAAGGAACATCAGCTCTCTGATTGTCGAGGTGGAGGAGATTCTTTCACCTAATGGAAAAGCGCTTTTATTTACAGAGATGCAATCACTGTCTGCTAACACTGTCGAGCTCTTAAGGTTAAGGAGTCCTGGGTTTGAGCAGAAAAACTTTCTGTCTAGAGGTGGCACTTTTGCTAGCAGAGGGCAAGAAAGCGGTAGAAAACTGTTTGGTCAGTTCTGAGAGAGAAAAATCAGCTCTTGGGTGGCTAATCCCGAGTCATCCTCTGTGCACTGCAAAAATTCCTATAGGAGTAATTCACGAAACACTTTAAAAGTCCTGTCTTTATTTTTTCAACCTGTTTTGGTTCCAGACCTTTGACTTTCTTGTCTTCTGTTGAGTTACAAAATATGTTTTGAAGAATGTAGTTGGTTCATTTTCACCTTGCTATCACAATGACTAGGGACTGGAGCTTTCAAGCTTTGAAAACAACACAAAAGCACCATGTAAATATCATACATACAAGTAGTCCAAAGTTATCTAACATTCATAAAATAAGACAAATTTACCTAAGAAGCTAAATTGCATTAGATATTGTTCTCAGTTCTCATCTCTTCACTCATCCCTGCCTAACCCAGTCTTTCTCTTTTTTATATTTAATGACATTTAATGTTAAACGTCATTTTTAATGGCATGTTTAACAGCCAAATTTGCATTTATGTCTTCCCAGACAGTGAAATGTTAACAATTAAGTGAACTCTAAACAAGTCTGAATTGTGGATATGGTTTATCTGACTTGTTGATTTGTTCATGAAGTGTACTCTCAGCTAGTGCACATCAAGATTGTCAGTGAATAATGTCTTAAATTTCAGTATATCCCTTTGAATATCTTATGTCTATCAAATTAGTTTAGAAGACCATGTTTATGATACCGTAATGGTGCTGTTGCATCCTTTTTAAATCTCCAATTAGAATCTTGACGCTCCAATCCTCATTAGTGGTAATTTTATTTCAATTAAAAATGAAAATAGATTCTTCAAAATATCTTCTTTTGAGTTTCACAGAGGAAAGAGAGTCATACAGGTTTGGAACAACATGAATATGTGTAATCGGTTGCTTTAGGTGAACTATACGTTTAGTATCTTCTTTTTTGTTTAACTGTAAACACGGATATAGTTTTCAGTTCTCACCTTTCTCAATCATCATCTTTTTCTCCCCGTCTAACCTAATTTTTCTGTCTCTATCCACAGGTGACCTTCACCAAACGGAAGTTTGGTCTGATGAAGAAAGCTTATGAGCTCAGTGTGTTGTGTGACTGCGAGATTGCCCTCATTATTTTCAATCACTCAAACAAGCTCTTCCAGTATGCCAGCACCGACATGGACAAAGTGCTCCTCAAATACACAGAGTACAATGAGCCGCACGAAAGCAGGACCAACGCAGACATCATCGAGGTAACACAGACATTCAAGCCCACCATGAATCCTCTCAATTTCAGGTGGCAGGAAATTGTTTTGTTTGTTTGTTGGTCTCATTTGTCCTTTATTTGTTTGCTCCTTCTCTTCATTCCTTTCTTCCTGTCTTTGGTGAACCGTGTTAATTTGGTTGAAGTAGTTCAGTCAATAGCCCTATTTGGTCGGGACTAGTTTTCCCTGAGGAGGCCAGGTAAATTTGTGTGTTTTTCCTCACAGAAACCTTGTTAAAATCACAGAACAAATTACCTACTGTTTTCCGGCTAACACACAAGTCCTCTGAGAAAGATCCCGTCCAAATAGGAATGCCTGTAATTGCGATGACTTTTTTTCATGAAGCTTCTCCTCGTTTATTTTGACCTTTATCGAATACTGTAACCAAAGCTAAATTTGTCACTTCATTACATAGTGAACCTTCATTATGGATTAAGACCCTGAAAATACCATGCTAATTTGATTTAATTTACATGGTACTTCTAAGAATATTATTGTATTACCTTGTTACCATGTCCAGAATACCCTGGTTATACCCATAGTGACAATATAAATCCACAACATTGCAATTTCTTCAAGAGATGGCAAGGCTTTTGCATAGCTAAACATTCACCCATAGGGAGGCCGGGCGCATGTGTGAGAGAAAGAGTGTGTGTGTGAACGTCAAGAGAGCATGAAGGGTGATTCAGAGGCTCGTGGATCTCTATACGCTGCTGGCTGACTGCCTGGACGATGGTGGGACAGGGGAGCAAGGGACAGCTGCACCCTCTACCACCTCCTGCCTTTGGCCAGAGAGGAAAAAGTGGCTTACACACAAACACACACACGGTGCCCATCCGGTGTCCGTCCCGTCCAACACAAGATGGCGACTGCGTGTGTGTGGCATGTTGTTCTGGGGCGCGTAACGTTAACATGAAAAGAACAGCAGCAGCAGAAGAGTGTCTCAGATAGTATAGCTGAAACGCCACTTGAATTAAAAGGATAGTTCACTCAAAAATTTACATCCTTATGCACCTTAATGTAGCTGTTTCCTATAATGTGTAGTTCAGTGCAATTTATGAATTGGACCAAGCAATTTGAATTGCAATTTTTGAATTGGGTTCTTGATTTAGCTTACTGGAAAGGAAGATTATCAGTGAATAACAACTTAAATTTAGGTCTTTTACTGACACAAAACTATCACATAACCTCAGTAGAAGAGTTAAAGAGTGTCTCAGATAGTATAGTTGGAATGCTGCCCAAATTAAAAAGACGGTTCACCCACAAATGAAAAGTTCTGTCTTTATTTACTCACCCTCATAGTATTCGAGCTCATGTTTTTTTTCCTGTCTTGGTGGACCTTCATGCACTTGTTTTCCATAATGAATCATTCAGTGTAACTTGTGAACAGGATCAAGTGTTTAATTGAAATAAACCAGTTCAAAAGAATCATTTGCATGCAAATTTAACTGGTTTGGTTCTTCAACTCACTGACTCAACGATTCGGATATTTTGGTTCTCGGGTTAACAGCTCACTGGAAAGGGAGATTACCAGTTAACAATAACTTAAATTTAGGTGTTTTACTGACACAAAACTATCATATAACCTCAGCGGAAGAGTTAAAGAGTCTCTCAAATAGTATAGTTGAAATGCTGCCCGAATTGAAAAGAGAGTTCACCCAAAAATAAAAATATCCGTCATTATTTACTCACCCTCATAGTATTCCAAACTCATGTGTTTTTTTTTCTTGTCTTGATGCACTTTAATGCAGGTGTTTTCCATAATGAATCATTCAGTGTAACTTGATCATGCAATTAATTTAAAAGAACCAGCTCAAAATAATTTGTCTCCAAATTGGATAGAACTTGTACTCAAGTTCAACTCACTGGTTCAATGATTTGGTTGCTTTGGTTCTTGGGCTTGCTAGAGGGAAAGATTATCAGTGAATAACAACTTAAATTTGGGTCTTTTACTCATTCAAAACTATCATGACTTAAGATCCAGGATGCAAGTCGTATGAACCAATTTTGTGGTGCTTTTTTGTCCAATTTGTCATTGCTATGAACTTGTTCACTGTGAACTATGAACAAATACTATACTATTGGAACTACAGGATAGATGGTAAATAATGACAGAATTGTAATTTTAGGGTAAACTGTTCCTTTAAGACATCAAATGTGTGTGTGTACAGAAAAAGCAGTGTTTATTTCAACATTAGGTGGTCATTCCGTGCAGTTTCAAATGCAGTCATCAGAGGGTGAATACTTATGTAGCGTGTGTGATGTTGAGAAACTGATGACTCTTTTGCAGAAGCCCCCAGTGGTACAGGTGCATGTTTCCTGTTGGTTGCAGCTGCAGAAATCTCTTAAGAGAGTGAGTGTCTGTGTGTGTGTGTATGCATGCATGCATGCACTGTGGTGAGGGCGTTAGGCCGCTGTGGGCCACATCAGCTCAAGCCTGACTGGGCTGCTTTGTGTGTGTGTAAAGGCTGAAGGCTGTCTCATGTAATATTGAGAGGCAGAGTGACAGTAGAGGCAGACCTGATGCAGAGTTCCCAGTGTTTGGCCTGATGTTTTTGGGGGCAGTACCGTTCAGAAGACTCTTCCTGTGACTCATGTCCATGTCTTCTCTGCTTTACCTGGTTATTTGACTTTTAGAGACCAAAAAGAGACAGACAGGCAGGCAAAAAGAGACAATTCAATGAAGTAAGGGAGATTCACTGTTTATAAATGATGAAGTGGCTTACAATCACCCAGAGAAAAACCCTCATTCATCCTACAGCTCACTGTACACACACACATATATTCAGGCAGGCATGCTTTCACACTGATGCATGACTGAACAGACGCATATGTACGCACACTGCCTCTCCTCTTCTCTCTTGCTGCATATCTCTCTTTTTGCTCTCATCTCGCGCGCCTCGTGTTGCACGTGCCTAGTGTGTGTGTGTGTGTGTGTGTGTGTGTGTGTGTGAGATTGTATGGGGGCTGCCTGCTTCTTCTGCCACAGCCTGTTAATCTGCTTGACTGCAGATCCCAATCAGGAGAGAGACAGAGAGAGGGAGAAAGAGACAGAGAGCGGGAGGTGGAGAATGAAAGAGACAGAGAGATGAAGAGTGGGTGTTTAAGGATGAAGATCCTGTAGATATCACTTGGGATTGAAGGGAGGTGGTAAGAAGAAAAACACAAGGCTTTGCCCTTTTTCATAAGCAGCTCAGATGAAGAGGCCGTGGGGACATAAAAACAACATGAAATATATATATTTTTAAATTTCCTTTATAAATGGTTGGTGTGATTCATCTATTCTCAGCTTTCTAATGAAAAATATTATAATCTTTCATCAAAATGTAATAACGTTCTCTGCTTCTGAAACAATGTTTATTTTGCTGATATAACCAAGGTCATGTGGGTGGAGAAAATAATAGCATTAATATTTTCTTAATCCATTTTTCACAATCCAATCAAATCCCGCTAGATGAGATTAAGTGCTGATTTACTGAATATTCTGTTTGGTCTTTGTATACACTTAAAGGGACAGTTTACGCAGAAATTAAAAATCTGTCATCATTTACTCTCCCTTTTGTTGTTTTGAACCTATATGACATTTTTTGGAACACAAAAATAGATTTTGAAGATTCTTCATGTCATTGCTTTTCAAAACACTGACAATCAATGGTGATCATGTGCATCAACCTCAAATAAAGCACTATTAAAGTAGTCCATACAACTACTTGTAAGTTTTATGAATACAGAATAGAGGATAACATTTAGAAGAAGGCAACGGTTTTTAGTGAATACAGAATTTATTTCATTGTCACATCATTGCACATTACTGAGTTTTTCTTTTGCCCTTATTGTAGCTTGACAGACAAGTTCCAGACTGACTTTTGAAAAGAGCTGTGTGTCCCTGAAAATATACAAGCATACAGATCTGAAATGACATGAGAGTAAATAATGACAGTTTTCATTTTTAGTGAACTTTTTCCTTCATACTGGTGCAAAATTTGTTTCATGCTGTTGTTAAACAATTAATTTATTATATTTCTACTGCTGTTTAGGAGAGCATTTATATAGAAAACAGGGCTGACAATCGATAAAAACAGTATTAAATTACATATTATTCAATACTAATCAATTTAGTAATAGCATATATCTATATTTCCTAAGAAAAGCTTCAAATTAAAGGGGTCATATGATGTTGCTAAAAATAACATTATTTGGTGTATTTGGTGTAATGAAATGTGTTTATGTGGTTTAAGGTTAAAAAAACACATTATTTTCCACATACTGTACATTATTGTTTCTCCTCTATGCCCCGCCTTTCTGAAACGCATCGATTTTTACAAAGCTCATCGTTCTGAAAAGCGAGGTGTGCTTTGATTGGCCAGCTATCCAGTGCGTTGTGATTGGCCAAATACCTCAAGCGTGTGACAGAAATGTTACACCCCTTGCCATACTGTGATGCCCTGTCCGGCTGGAGCGTCGAGACAAAAACATTAAAACCCATTATAAACGAGGCATTTGTTGCATCCGGGCTAGAGAACGGCACGGCCGGCTGGCTTGCGGCAACCACATGTGATGACCCCGGGCTGGACTCCGCTTCGTCCACGGTGAAAGCCGATCCGGCGATCCACAGCGCGAAGTTGATGTATTTCCTCAGCGACCAGCACGGATCAGCTCCAGGCATGACGAAGCGGATATCGTCCTCTTTTGGAAGGCCAAACAAAGTAGTTTCGCTTTCACAACGAAACACACAGCGTCTTCACGACATGGCGGCAGCAACAATACTACAGCGAGAATAAAAGTTAAGCCTTCTTTCTTTGCGTGAACATTTGGGCGGCATTATGCAAATCCTCACACATCGTGACGTAGACATGTGGGGGCGTGTTAGAACGAGCCGTTTTAGGTAGGTGTGACTGACTCTTAACTTTTATAAAGAATATCGCTTTGGATTTGAGACTTTAGTCTTTGCAACTTTACAGATCTTCTTTATGCACCAAGAGCTTGTAACACTTCAAAGAGAAAGGAAAACTTGAAATCGCATCATATGACCCCTTTAAGATTCAAACAGGTCAGGTGGCATAATTTATTGAGTTTAATAGGGACTGATCTGTGTGCAGATTTCTGATGAATGTTGATTGAATGTTTATATTGAGCTGAAAAGTTAAGTGTTATTAATATTGGCTAGTTTTGTCACAATAATACCAATGCCAGTGAAATTCCACAATTTTTTGTGTTTTTTATTTTAAAAAGTTAATAATATTATTACAATAAATATTACCAAATTAAATAAAAAAATGACATGTAGCATTTCTATATTTGTCAGTTAAGTAAATTCAATTAAAAAGTTTTAATTAAATAAAATAAAAAATTAAGTAATTATTCAAACAAACAGTAATGAAGAACAAATAAACAAAGTAACCACAGTAAGTAGTTTTCTCTTTTTATTATCAGCACTAGTTTAATTATTATAAATAATAGACATAACAGACAGTGGCAGAAACCGTGTTTACGTTGATGCCATGCCAAGCTGGCATTTTGACCAGGAAGTGCACATTTATGAGCATTCAGTGGTAACCACCTGTCACCAGACAGCTTTTAAGTACTAAATTGAGTGGTCTATAGTACCAATTCTACAGAAGGAACTGAATTTAATTTGAGTATCGACTTGACATCAAAGTCGACACCACCAGCACTTTTGACATGCCTGATAGCAACAGTTCTTTTCAGATGTGACCACTGGCGTTAGATTGTCGAGATGAAATGACTGTGAACTTGTAACCTCTGTCTGTAAGAGATGAGAAATCTGTGTGTGCTGGACATCGGCTAAGCCCTCTTCGATATCGAGATGATGTACTTCAGCTTATTCTCTCAGATCCGCCTCCACAGTGGGCTCAGCCGTGGGCTATCAGCCCAAATCAGCTGCTAAAATGACTCCATTAGCCTCATGTATGAGTTATAGTCAGACTCGCCTGATAATGGCAGACACGCTGCCTTTAAAGGAGGAATTGAGATGGAGGGATGAAGAGGAGGAGTGGAGGGTTCAGAGGGGCTGCTAATCTGTCAGATGGGTGTATCTGGACGCTATCGTCTGTGTAAGCCGGCAGGCTGCGGCGAAGCCGAGGCTTTAAGTGCATTCTCAAGGGATGGCCGGGGGGGGTTGCAGCCTTCTCTGCTTTACACGCTGCAAATGGAAGGTGACATTACAGTCTGCCTGCGTTGGACATCAGCACACACTCGAGAGAGAGTTATTTGTTCATTTTAAGACCATAAACCACCATAGACCCCTCGTTTTTAGATCAGTATGTCTTTTTCAATTGCAGATTCTTAAACTTTTATTTGGTCCCTCTCAAATGTTTGCTTCCATCCCACATAGGAAGTGGGAGTTTGAAAAGACGATATGGAATGGAGTGAGGAGGGGAATAGAGGACAGAAATGAGTCAGCTCGCTAAGTCGTGGAAGAATGAGAGCATTACTGGATTAGAAAAGAGACACAAAGATACAGTGTAAAAAAACATCCAGAAACATTAGAAGAAAGAAAGTGAAGGTCGAGGAGTAACGGACGAAATAGTGTAAAGACAGGAAGGGGAAGCTAGAGAGAGGGACCGTACGGGGGGGGGCGGTTTCAGGGGGAGGGGCGCTACTGAATGAGGTTAGCCAGTCAGAGGCAGCGGAGCTCTGCAGGGGAATCTTCCCTTGGCAACACAAACAGGCACCCGCCCCATAAAGGAGAGACAGCAGGCAGAGAAATACAGGGACAGGTGAACAGATGGAGCCGACTCAGAGACAAGCTGATCAGCTGACCTCACTGTGTGTGTGTGTGTGTGTGTGTGTGTGTGTAAGAGAGAGAGAGTGTTAATGTTAACGATCAAGCTAAATCAAATGCTTGCTTTGTATTTTTTTTTCCATCATTCATCAAATCATCCTCTAAATTGCTAATGCTCATACTTGGGGTTAGGGATTTCAACAGCCCCTATTTCTAAATATTTTATTTCATTTAATCGATTAAAAGTGGCAGTTTATGATGTTACCAAAAAACTTGAGAACCAAATCAGCATTTTACAATGATTTCTGAAGAATCATGTGACGGTGAAGACTGGAGTAATATTAAAATAGAAAGCAATTCATTTAAATTGTAATAAGTTTTGACAGTATTACTCTTTTATTGTATTTTATCATAAGAGACTTCTTTCAATAACATTAAATCTTACTGACCCCAAACTTTAGAACGAAAATATGAAAAAAATAATGCATTTAAAGTGTTAATTGTTCAATTAGCATTGCTGATCTGGATTACATTGTTTTATGCTGTATTTTCTTTGCACACTTTTTATGTTACTATGACCTCTGTGAGAAGGAAGCAGGCAAAGCTGAAAACTGTTTTCCATTCAGCCTCAAAATCTCCATCAAAGCTACTTAGAGAAAATCTTGTTTGGAAAATCTTCTCAAAAAAGACTCAAGCTGTTTTCTATAAACTGAGTTTCTCTCTTTTTCAGCCTTGTCTAACTTATTTCCAGCCCACGGTTGTCTATGGGCTGTGCAGAGTTTCATCGTTTTCCAAGTCATGGTGTAAAATCGAATTTAGCTGCTTCACTCCCTCATGAAACATTTTGCTGATATACAGTGGTCTTGGTTTATGTGTCACACGTTACTCTGTAGGTTTAATAAATCAGTGCTGCTTCTCTCTGATTGACATTTGTGTTTCTAAATGTGAAATATGCTCCTCTCCTTTTCTTCTCCCATTCCAAATGCTTTAAGACATTGAGAAAGAAAGGCTTTAACGGTTGCAACAGTCCAGAGCCAGACGGGGACGATTCGATTGACCAAAGTCCCTTACAGGAGGACAAATACCGCAAGAGCGAGGAGCTGGACATCCTCTTCAAACGCTACGGAGTGAGTATTCCTCTTTACCCTGTCATTCTAACCTCCATCCTTCTCTTTCTTCCCCTCTTTCTCTCTCCTGTCCTCGGTCGGAAATAAACCAAGGCTCTGAACAAGAAAGAGCACCGGGATTCGGAGAGCCCAGACCCCGAGGAGCCGTTCTCCCTCACGCCTCGCACAGAGGAGAAGTACAAAAAGATAGACGAGGAGTTTGATAAAATGATGCAGAGCTATAGGCTTTCAGTGAGTACCCGTGTGAAGAGGCCTGCTTTTGGCCCGCCAACCAACTCACACAGCCTGCTGCCGGCCTGGCAATCAACTCACAGAGCACCTAGCAGCCATCTCTCACCCCATTCCCCTCCCACCACCCCTCAATCCCCTCTGAATGTGTGTGCTTGGGCAAGGAGAGGGCAGTCGGGGCGAGAGGGCGAGAGGGCGAGTGTGGGCCGCATCCCTTTGATCCTCACAATTCACTTTTTCAAACGTGCCTGTGATTTATAGCAGTCTTGATTCTGCGTGCTGTTGTTTCTTGTGTTCTGCGATGACTGATGCCTGTATCGCGTTTGCCAGGAATAGACTTCTGACTCATCTGGGTCCCGATTCAGGCGTCGGTGAAGATAATTTTCATTAAGGCACTGTCAAGAATGCTTTATGCATGGGCCCTGCATGAGGAATCTCCTCTCAGGAGGTACAGAAACAAGAAAGTGCTGCTCGCTATCTCAACGTATCGTGGGCCCGAGTTTGATATGATTTACATGGTGAAAGTGATTCAACAGGATGTGGGCAGCAAAGACTGATTAGTGTAGTAAGTTGCATTCTCTTTCCTCTGTAATGCTAATGGGACTGGAAATTAGACATTGCTCGGTAGCTGCATCCAAAAAGCATTTCATCACCTGATGAACGGCCAGTTCCCCCCCACCCCGTTCTCCGCTCAGTGCAGCGTTCACGGGCCGGAGCACAAAGAGAGTCATCCAACACCTCTCTCTTTCTCTGCCACATAATCCCAGCATGAGTGCCCGAGGAAGCAAAGCTAAAACCTTAATCCCTCTCACTGGGGACACCCAGCAGCATGTGTACTACGAGCTCTACTTAACAGGCCGGAAAATGATCAGTTTGTAATGAGTTTTTAGATATTCACCACTAACTGTCTGACTTGGCTGTTGGTGGTAATTTCAGTGGATAAAGCTGGATTGTGAGGAAATTGGGAAATTGTTTTTAATTTTAACCTGAAGTAAAAAAGAAAAAAATACAAGTAATATTTCTGTATTGTGCACCAAACAGGAATGCAGTATACATTAGTGCTAAATCGGTGATTATTATTTTTATAATTTTTTTTAGATCAGTTGATATTGGATATACCCTACCATTAGAAAGTTTGAGGTCAGCAGGATAATTTAAAAAGAAATTAATACTTTTATTTAGCAAGGATGCATTAAAAAATGAATCAGGGTCCATGAAAATATTATGCTACACTGTTTGCTGAAAATTCAGCTTTGTCATCACAGAAATAAATTAGATTTTAAAATATATTCAAATAGAAAGCAGTTATTTAAAATAATACTATTTCACAATAATACTGTTTTTCTGTATTTTTGATCGAATAAATCTAGCCCTGGTGAGCATTTTTTCAAAAACATAAAAAAAAAAAAACTTTAAAATGGCAGTGTATATCAGTTGATATTAGATATTTAATTGACCCATTTCTGTCTTAATTTATATTCCGATTACATTTGCAATATCTAACACTCACTTAAATGTAATCTTTAAAATGTAATAACACTTTCTAGCAGATCTCAAATACATTTGCATTTCATATTTTCGTTCACAATGTTGCAAGTAGCCTGTGAAAACAGGCTGTTCAGAATCTGCTCAGCACTCCGCTTGGTTAATTCAATTTTATATTATATTATATAAAATTTGTGATCGCATTGTGTTGAATTACATTTAAATCTATTGCGTAAATTGACCTGAAAGATCATTCCTCATATGCACCGTGAGCTCCAATCCAAAAGAACTTCATGTGATTATGATTTGCCAACTTGTTTCCCAAACCAGTCAGTCTTTCTCACTTCACTGGTCACGCTCTTCCTCAACGTCACACAGTCTCCCTTTCAGTACCAAGTGTCGTTCTTATCACAGTTGTCTATCGCTTGTCTGTGTCTAGACTGATATAATCTTGAGTCTGTTGTATTTATCTTCAGTTGTTGAAGGCACTTCAGAAGTGTAAGATTGCACTTTCTGGCTGAGAAATTGGAGACTAGCAAACTCGATTTTTTTCCGTCTTGGTGTATGTATTAAGCTGAGGTGTGTTTGGTGCTCCATATTTTAAACCAGCTGCTCGTCTCTCACTAATAACCCTTCCCTCTCCTCCGCCCTCCCCTCCCTTCACCCTGCCTGGCCTGCGTGCAGTGCTGGAACTTAGTTGCTGTTTCGTAAACAGGCCCATATGCTACATGGGTTACTCCCTCCAGAACCGTAACTTGGATATGATTAACCTGTAATATTCTTTTAAATCCGCTTTGGCTTCAGTATATTCGAAAACAACAGTGGTTATAGAGGACATAAGCCCAAATTCTGATCAAAGGTCAATCAAAGGTCAAAACCCCACTCTTACATTCTTAGGTGTAAGGTTCTAAAGGTTCATAAAGGTTCTTTATTGACATTATTTGACTTTATTTTTCTGCTGAAGCTCAGACAGAGAGGCTAGAGGAGAACGGGAGAAGGACAGAGGAAGAGCCAGACTAACTCTATCAAACTGGGTCCCACTCAGAACACAGGAGGCCTAGTGCGGCCCACTTTCTAAATTTAGAGGCCCTGGTTATGCTGAAGGATCATGGGAAAATGGGTCTCCATCAGAGCATCTGGACAGTTTGAGTCCACACTGATTGCCGAAGCTGGCTTATTGCGCTTCGCAAAGCTCGAGAACGAGGATCAGCTGACTCAGGAGTTGTCACGGCCACATGCCCCTTGTTTGAAACACCTGAGCCTACTGTGCGCCGTGGGATATTCCCTAGAGCCGTATTACCAGTTTAAGGACAACTGTTGCAGACTAAAATTGAGTATAATCCTGGGCTCCAAAACAAGTTTTAAAATAAAACTGTAAACACCGGATGATTCAGTGAAATCTAGATGCAAATGAAGTGAAGACTTCCTGTTCCTTTCATTTCCAGCCTGGATAATTTGCACTAAAACATCAACAGTTTTACAGAAGTCTTACAAAATTAACTCTGCACCTCGTAGCTTCACGTGCTCTGCTTTGGAGATGTTTGCACAAGTCACGGCATGCTATTAAAAACCGGTGTGTGACCATGTCTGGATGTGTATGCAGGCAAGCGAGTTTAAGCCGCTAACCGTTTCCCTCTCTATCTGTGCTTCTCAGTCCACAGTGCCACCGCCCACTTTCTCTATGCCAGTCACAGTGCCGGTGTCCAGTCAGAGCCCTCTGCCATTCAGCAATCCCAGCAGCCTCGTCACCACTTCCTTCGTCACCTCCACTCTCACAGACCCACGCCTGCTGTCACCACAGCAACCGCAGCTGCAGAGGAACACGGTGTCTCCAGGCCTGCCACAGAGACCTGCCAGCGCAGGTAAAATCCTGAGCAGATCAACGGTGCTGGGTACCAGTAAGCAAAGCAGGAAGGAGGAAATAGTAACTCATGTTGTGTACATGAGCTTATAATGTTGCCCTGTGGGTGTCAGATTACCCAGAGCAGCTGTTTCAGTGACATACCACTGATTTATGCATAAAAATGACTGTCAAACCGTCAGCATCTCTGCTTATGGAGTGGTTGCATAATGTACTGATCTTTTTTCTGATCTTAAAAAAGTTTAATTATTCTATTATGATTATTTCTAGCTGATTTTACAAATTTGATATCAGCTAATATTGGATTTATAATTGTGCTGCTAATTTTCTCTATTTTTACATCATCTAAAGATCATTTAAGTTAATCTTTAAAAACTAATCATTGAATAACATGGTTAAATGTAATCTAAAACACACATTTAATCATACTGTACATTATAAATTTGTTTATAAAAAAGTGTTTTTTATTAGATAAAATAGTATAGAATTCTATTTGTTAACATTAGTAATCAGTTAATATGAACTAACACTGAAAAATACTTTGTGTTCATTTAATAGTTTATTATTAAAATCAAAAATTGTATCTTTTAATATTATTTAATGGACCAATGGCAATGAACATCTTTAACATTAAAAAGATTTTTGAAATACTGTAATGTAACATGTTGATCATTGAGGGTTAATGCATTAACCAATGTTAACTAATGGAGGCGTATTGTAAAATGTTAACACAGAATTTTAGTAAAGGCCATTTATCAGTTAGCTGAACATGAAAATAATTATCACCTTTGTTTTAACTAAATTTTTAATGCATCCCTACGGCATGTAGTCTTTCTTCAGCTCATTCTGTTAAGTTTTCATTTCAGTAATTCAGGATCAGCTGAGTTGAGATTTGTAAACAAGGTTCAATGGATCTCTTTGTGATTTGATCTCTCAAAGCTCCTTTGGAGGTGGTCAGGGACACATATCGCATTTGTTGTGTAAACGCTAATGTGTCCTGATGCATCCTTGAAAACTCGAAGGACTACCGACTCGCGTTGCGTGAAATCTCTGCTAGGAAAAGCTTTGAACATAAACAAGTGCTTGATCGAATCATTTTAGAATGGAACAGCAGAAGCTTTATTGGCACAAGGCAGGGATGGTGGATAATGCTGTAGGCACAGCTGTGCAACATACACAAGACCATGTTTAAAAGTGTACATGAGCAATTGTGTAATAGTATGTGCAGTGTATATATATATATATATATATATAATATATGAGCGTTTAAAAGTTTGGGGTCTGTATGATTTTTTTTAATGCTTTTTCTCCAAGGTTGCATTTATTTAATCAAAAATACAGTGAAAACAGTAATACTGTAAAATATTATTAGAGTAAAAAAATAAATAAAAAAAATTTCATTTATTCCTGTGCTGGCAAAGCTGAATGTTCTGATCCTTCAGAAATAATTTTAATATCCTGATTTGGTGATCAAGAAACATTTCTTATGAATAAAAGTTGTAAAAAATTTTGTGGAAACATGATACATTTTTAGGAGTCTTTAATGAATAGGGAATTCAAAAGAACGACATTTACATGAAATAGAAATCTTTTTTAACAATGTAAAGGGCTTTACTGTCCTTATGATAGGTGTTAATTTAAAATAAACTATTAAAACAAAAAAATCTTACTGACCCCAAACTTTTGAACTGTAGCATACAATATATATAATACAATATACTGTACAAAAACAATGTACACGATGCATCTAAAATATGATACATAAAAATGCACAATGCTTCACTGAACGAACACTTCAGTATGACACATTCATAAATCAATATAGTCATGAAATAAGACACCCTCCCTTAAAATTCTGGACCCCTCCCCCAAAAGACACATGTTCAGACAGGTGTAAACAGCAGTCTGTCTTGGCTGACCTTTTGTGATCAAATTCAGCTGAGACTAACGTTATTTCCTTATATTTGGTCCAAAAACTTAGTTTAGTTCCAGATTTGTTTGACTTTAGAGATTTAGAGTCTGTAGTCTAGACTCGAAATTTTAGCCTTTTAGCTGTTCTGTCCTTTTTCCAGGTGCTCTTTTGGGTGGTGACCTCAACAATTCAAATGGAGCGTGCCCAAGCCCTGTGGGTAAGTCTTTCCTCCTACCAGCCAGAAGGCCCCGATAATACCTCTTCATTTTCACCTGAATAATGCATCAGTCTGAGTCAAACTGCTTAAAATCGAAGGGCACGCTCAAGACCTGCAGAGTGGCGTGAGAGTTTTCAATCTCATCCGATAAGATCTGATCTGACCTGACTGTGATTATGAGAATGACAGCAGCTCTATGAAGGTTGTCCGGACACAAAAATCTGAAAGCGAGTGATCAGGCTATCGGACATCCAGTGTATGCTCACACACCTGTTTGCTCGTGACAGTTGAAGCTCACACTGTGTTCTTCAAGCATGCCTGTAAACACCCTCATGGGACTATGAGGCACGAGTGACATAAATGCTATGGGTCAACACCACACACAGAAAAAAAACAGAAAAAAGCTAACAATAATGTTTTCTTACATTATTGTTTGCTTTTTTTCTGTTTTCCTGTCTGTTTCTGTGCCCTTGCATAATTGTCTTCCCATCCTCTTCCCCTCTCAGCTGTTCTTCATATCTCACTCATGACATTCTGAATACCCAGCTTAAACCAGCACGCTCCATCCCTCCCCTCCCCCTCTGTCACTCTCCCTTCTCTCCTCCCTGCCAATCTTGACAGTCCCTGACAGCTGTAGGTTCTCCTGCCTCTGAACTTCAAAGAGCACATGAGTCTCATGGACATTTTAAGTGGGCATTTATAATATGAACATTTAATCAGTGAAGAGGCTGAAGGCCCTTGTGAAACACCTCCCATTTCTTGGGATTGTGTGTGTATTCTTTGGCACATTCCATGAATATGTCTTATTTTGGTGTTCTTTGCCATTTTGTCATTTTTTAAAAGGTTAGAGTCCAATTTCCATTTTTTATTTTTATTTTTTTGTTATGTGAAGTATTAAATGTAAACCTAAATTTAACCAAGAATTAAATGATAAATTTTTTTTTGTCAGTAATTTTTGTCCACAAATAGTCTGCCCCTTTATAGTGCTGGGCAACGATTACAGTTTTTGTGCATATAAAAATGTGCACATAATGTGTGTACTGTGTTTATTTATTATGTGTATATATAAAGACATGCATACAGTATATATTTAGAAAATATTTACATGTATATATTTATATTCATATAATTTACATTGTATATAAATATATGTAATATATAAAGATTTTTCTTAAATATATACATGCATTTGTGTGTATTTATATATATATATATATATATATATACATAATAAATATACGTGGTGACACATAAATGTATTATGTACACAAAAACTTTTATTTTGAATGCGATTAATCGTTGCCCTGCACATATACAGTGGGTACGGAAAGTATTCAGACCCCCTTAAATTTTTCACTCTTTGTTATATTGCAGCCATTTGCTAAAATCATTTAAGTTCATTTTTTTCCCTCATTAATGTACACACAGCACCCCATATTGACAGAAAAACACAGAATTGTTGACATTTTTGCAGATTTATTAAAAAAGAAAAACTGAAATATCACATGGTCCTAAGTATTCAGACCCTTTGCTCAGTATTTAGTAGAAGCACCCTTTTGATCTAATACAGCCATGAGTCTTTTTGGGAAAGATGCAACAAGTTTTTCACACCTGGATTTGGGGATCCTCTGCCATTCCTCCTTGCAGATCCTCTCCAGTTCTGTCAGGTTGGATGGTAAACGATGGTGGACAGCCATTTTTAGGTCTCTCCAGAGATGCTCAATTGGGTTTAAGTCAGGGCTCTGGCTGGACCATTCAAGAACAGTCACAGAGTTGTTGTGAAGCCACTCCTTCGTTATTTTAGCTGTGTGCTTAGGGTCATTGTCTTGTTGGAAGGTAAACCTTCGGCCCAGTCTGACGTCCTGAGCACTCTGGAGAAGGTTTTCATCCAGGATATCCCTGTACTTGGCCGCATTCATCTTTCCCTCGATTGCAACCAGTCATCCTGTCCCTGCAGCTGAAAAACACCCCACAGCATGATGCTGCCACCACCATGCTTCACTGTTGAGACTGTATTGGACAGGTGATGAGCAGTGCCTGGTTTTCTCCACACATACCGCTTAGAATTAAGGCCAAAAAGTTCCATCTTGG